AGAGATGTGTTATGTGATTTGACAAATTTTCAGATTCTCAATTTTTTAAGTTCTAAAGGCCCCAATTTCCAAATTTTAAAAGTTTCAAATTGTCGAATTTTTGAATCTCTTGAATTTTCAAATCCCCAAATTTCCAAGTTCCCAAGGGCCCAAGTCCCCAAGGGCCCAAATCCCCAAGGGCCCAAGGTCCCATGGGCCCAAGTCCCCAAGTCTCCAAGATCCCAAGGGCCCAAGTCCTCAAGTCCCAAAATCCCAAGTCCCCAAGTCCCCATGTTTCCCAATTCCGAGTCCTCCAATTCCATGTCCCCCAATTCCAAGTCCCTAAGTTTCCAAGGCCCCCAATTCCAAGTCCCCAAATCTCAAGTCCCCCAATTCCAAGTCCTCAAATCCCAAGTCCCCAAATTCCAAGTCCCCCAATTCCAAGTCCCCCAATTCCAAGTCCCCCAATTCCAAGTTCCCCAATTCCAAGTCCCCCAATTCCAAATTTCCCAATTCCAAGTTCCCCAATTCCAAGTCCCCCAATTCCAAGTCCCCAAATCCCCAAATCCCAAGTCCCCAAATCCCCAAATCCCAAGTCCCCAAGTCCCCAAATCCCACTTTCCAAATTTCCATATTCCCAAATTCCAATTTCCAAGTCCCCAAATTCCCAAATCCCCAAATCCCCAAATCCCCAAATTCCCAAAACCCACCTACTGCGTCCCAATCCCACCCCCTACAAAACCCATAGCAACCAATGGAAGTCAAGTGCTTCCAATCGTCCCACATCGCGGTACCCGATATCATCTTTATTAGCATTTTTTATCGCAAGCAGTATTATGTCCAGGCATCCCCGACCATCCAGCGGAGATGCACGGGGTATGACTCGATTCCCATATGTGGGTCAGCTGCGTGGGGCAGCGCGATTCGCACGCGCCATTTTTCGCAACGAAAAGGAAAGCCATGGCTCACGCGCCTAGCAAAATCCGACTGGTTTTGCGTAGGCCTCCTCTCCGTCGAGGCGCAACGCGTAACGGTGCTTCGACCTACTTCCGTTCCCCACTATAACCTCCCGCGATCGGATATAGTTTAACCGCCGTATAGTGGCGCGAACAAGTGCGCCCGTCTCACGTGACGGCCCGCCATCTTTCTCGATAACTTCGAATCCCGGAATGCGTTACTCACTGCAACTATCCTTATAATTACCTTACTAATATACCTTGTACATGGCATCGTTATGTCTCGTTTATGTACGTTGAACACACAACGGTCTTCTTTGTAAGATTCTTATGATGTATTTTTTTACTTTGCACATTTTTGAGAGGTTATGTGCTAATTGCAGTTTTGATGAATACGATGATATTTATAATTTTTGGGTAGGGAAATAAATTATTATTTATTTAGGTTGGTGTACTTTCATGCTAATTGTTAGCTAATAAAAAATTTATTAAATTATTGTTTTGGATAATTATAAATTACAACTTTGTATTACAACTTTGTAGTTGTTAATTGTAATAGTTGTAACTGGTATTGATTTTGGTGAGCATTTCATGAATTTTATAATTGTTAATTATTTTCAATAATAGTTTCATAGAGTACATTAAAGAATACATCAGAAAATGAACTATGAGACTTCAATCGTAAACAAGAACTTGCTATAAATTTTCTTATAATTATCACACTATGATATCTATTAACATCTGTCCACAACCTACATAATCTAGAAGATACAGAGACTAAAACCCACATAACATGTTCAGTCCCGACAACTCGTTCGCAATAAATCAAGCATAAATATCTGTAGATCTACAAAATACATCCATGTACCGTCCTATTAGATACCTATCAACATATCAGACTTCATCTCCACATCGGGCTACATTTTATACAAATTTCAGTCCGAATTATTATACGTTTCAAAAATCATCGTCACAACACAGTCGGTATCGAACGTGTAAACCGTCGAACGAGAACGAGGATGTTCGTGATGTTTTATGGTATGTCTTTCGATGATGAAGAGTAGGATTGATTTCGATAGGAGAGGAACAACGGAAACGGGCAAAAGTGGGCCAGGACGTAAACCGCAGCTCGCACGCGCCATTTTTCACAACGAAAAGGAAAGCCATCCGGACAAAATCTAGCCGATTTGCGTAGGATTCGACCGTGCAGTGGGCTGTAACGGTGCTCCGGCCTACTTTGACCCCCCACTATATGCGAACGCGATCGCGGTATAGTTTCGTTGTATAGTCACGGATACAAATATCTGTGTTGGTATATACGGACCTCTTCAGGGTCCTCTTTAAAGAGCATTATAATAAAATAGGTATTTCAAACACAGCTAATTAATACTTCCATTACTGTGATTAAGCGGCGATATAACACGAGGTGATGCGAGGCAATGCAATATGTCTTTACAACATATAATTATTTACTCGGGGATGATACTATGGGAGCTAGTATAATAAGGCTTTGCTATAACGAGAGTTTGGTCATATATCAAATATTTCCCTTTTCTCAAAGTTTCAAATTTTGTGGGCCCAAAGTTTTGAAATTTAAAAAATTTAGAATTCCAAGCTTCCAAGGCTGGGAGAAACTTGGAGAGTACAGAAGTTTTGAAGTCCCAAATATTCAAAGTCCCAACAGTCCCAAAATCCCAAGGTTCCAATGTCTTAAAATTCACTATTTCCAAAATGCCGAAGTCCCAATATACCAAGATCCCAGAATTATAAAATTCCTCAACCTCAAAATCCCAATATTCCAAAGTCTCAAAATCCTTAAGTCCCAATATCCTACTCTCAAAATTCTTAAGTCTCAATATCCTACTCTCAAAATCCTCAACTCCTAATATCCCACTCTCAAAATCCCCAAGTCCCAATATTCCAAAGTCCCCAAATCCCCAAGTCCCAATATTCCAAAGTCCCCAAATCCTCAAGTCTCAATATCCTACTCTCAAAATCCTCAAGTCCCAATATCCCACTCCCAAAATCCTCAAATCCCAAAATCCCAATATCCCAAAGTCCCCAAATCCCAGTCTTCCTCAAAAACTCCCAATCTACCCATTCCACCTCCCCAAAACCAATCCCATAATTAACAGACCTCAATTCAGTAGACGAAAGGTCCCAAAATTGCTACCTGATTTAAAAAAAAAAAAACGAAGATCTGTAAAGCCGTATAGGTCCCCGCGAATCGCCGCCGAATTGGTCGCGCGGTGCGGATACCCGGTGATCCCATTGACAAGTGGCTCACCGAGACATTGTCGTAGGCCCGAAAAAGTGGGGCCTTTGTTAGTGGTAGTCGGGTCTGGCGGTCGAGGCCTCCGACCAGCGAATCCACGCCATTGGATAACGGTACCCGGTGAACACGTCACGGCCCGACCTCCCCCCACCTCCCCGCGGTCCCGGACCCCAAAGTGGGGACCTCCAACGCCGTCTACCTGGCAATCGACAAGGACGGGCTCTAAACCGACGACAAGGACGGACACGGCGTGCTCGATGGGAAACTCGGTGGGGCTGGAGGGGCTACAGGGGCAGAAGGAACCTCGTGGTAGGCACAGCCGGACCGTACGTACGTGCCGACCATTTGCATGATTCCCATGACGTGCTCTTACGGCCACGCGGATGTGTCAATCGGAACGGGGAAAGAGAAAGACCCGATTCGCGTTTTTCGTGGCAGGATGCGGACGTCGCATCCTTCGTTAGAATGCAAGCCTTCCTCATTTCGTATGCTGCTCTTTCAGCTACTTTATTGTTGAACATTTGGAAATTCCTCGTAATAAGAACGTGGACATTTACACAAGTTTGGGCATTACTCAATTTTAAGATTATTTAGCACAAAACTCGATAGCAAGAAATAACTTGTTTGATATAAATTTTTGATCGAACCTACTTAAACCCATCACTACTTCATAAGAAATTTGTAATGACTTTGTTATGAAAGTTTCATCCAAAGAATTTTTAGTCTTTTCATTGAAATAAAATATCTCTGTGATAATTTGCAGATTGCACTCTGCGCAGTTGACGTGTATAGGGTTAGGTTAGGTAACTTTCTATTTAGAATATGATCGTTCTTCGACCTTGTATTTCCTTGAATGAACGTTTCTTTTTTTTGTCTGAGCTCGTTTCTGGCATGTCGATAGTGGACAGGACGCTATGTATTTTATGAAAATGTATTTTTAAACGCAGCAATTTGGTTGGTCGTGTGTACCCAGCCGTGGCTGGCTAGCGTGCCACTAACCTAGTTAGCGAGAGCAAGTCTTTCTTCTCGGGAGAAGTGGTATCTGCCTACTTAACTTTACGATGCATTACCGGTGTACGAGCGTGTTTGTACGTGCACATGTACCTGAGTCGAATTTATTGTTTATAACAGCGGTTCTCAATCGCTGTACGAGGACACATGGATGACACGTGGAATACTTGTGCGATATTCTGCATAACTTTATCTATTTTATATTGTAATGCAGTCTAGTCGAACGGGGACTGACCTTTACTGAAACGGAAGCAACGTAGTGATATTGGAATGTTTGACTTTTGATTCTGGTGGTTCATGGAAAGATTAAGTTATATAGGATTATGAAATAGGAGAGTTTAATTAAGTAGGAATATTTTTGGTTTTATGGGAAATTTAGTATTGTACCCATGGACTTTTTACTGAAGTTCACCATGCTCCCTTATCTGCAGAATCAAATTTTACACATTACGATTCAAACTCTGAAGGTGACCTTCATATCCCAAGAAACAAAGTAGCAGCACTGATCATATTATTTCAACCAGTTTGTCATACAACAAACAGTTTAGAAGTAATATCGAATGCATTAATGTGCCCAGTCGGTTCAGAACTCGTTCCTTAAACTTGACCGAATTTCACCTGACTTAATATAGCAAAGGCCATTTTCTTCTTCTAAGGGGTAAATGCTCCTCCTTATACCCCTATCGGAATGTATTTCGTTAATGCATGAAAAACAATAAAGATTAAATAATGAAAATAACTGGCATCATTCCTATCCAAAATCGAAATTGATGTTGCAGGTCCCCGCGGGGCCGTTGGCGGTTGCAGCACCCCCGGCAGTAGAGTGGATCCCTGGTGGAATCCTGGTTCCCTCTTCCCCTCGACCCCTGGGCCCCCAAGGATCGACGAGGGGGCACCGGATAACGGTAGTGGTGGTTTTCAATTCTGTAGTCCACCGAATCGTAACGCGAATAGCCCGTCGTCTCACCAGTCGCAGCACCAGCAGCACCATCATCGTTCGAATCAGCGGCACCACTCTCACCAACAGAATCAATCGAATTCGACGAGGAACATCTGTTCGAGCTACAGCATCGCCTCGACCTCGTCGTCTTCGTGCTCGTCGTCGAGCCTCGGTCGTCGCGTGGACACGGTAGCGCGGGGCGCTGATGCCGTAGGTTCGCCTAGCAGCGCGTACGGCATCGCCTCGTCGTCACCGGAACCCTGCTCCGCAAGTAATCTGATCCTTTCGGCGTTGTTGACCACCACGTCGTCGACGGACGGTCGTCATCAGGGACCGCGAGGTGGTCCGGTGACCTCCGGGCACAGCGGCGTGTTGCCGCCCTCGTCAACGGCGTCGCGCAACATCTGCAGCGTCTCGTCGGCAGACACCCTCAACGGAATCCTATCGTCTCTAAACGTGCGGATCAAAACGGAGGAGTATCCGAAAATCCGCTCGGAGGAGCGAAGAGCGACCAGCGCGATATTTTCATCAGCGTCTACGTCGTTGTCTTCGTCTTCGTCCACCTTCAACGCCACCCTACTCAGCTCCCTGCTGTCCACCTCGCGCATCTCCGCATCCTGCAGGAACGACGACGAGGACATATTACCCAGATCGTGTATCAAGCTTGAGTATCCGTCCAGTGACTCGCAGCGCCAAGAGCAACAAGAGGAGCAGACCGTGGTGCGGAACATCAAGGTAGAATACCCCCTCAGTCAATCGTCGCAGGACGTTCTGGATACCGGCGAGGAGGAAGAATTGACTGCCACGTCGCCTTACGATATTATCGCCGGCCAGCCCAGGTGTCTGTCGAAGCAGGCAGCTGGCAAGACTCAAGCAGGTTCCTTGGTCAAGGACGTGATCGTACCACCCTGTCCAGGCGGCGTTTCACCAACCTCGGACATCGTGATCGAGATGAAGTACGAAACGCAATCAGGACCGCCGACAGCGCCGCCACACTTGACATCTTCCGGAGTGGAGCCGCCTCACAGTAGCCAGGGAACGGGCATCGTCGTCGGCGGATCACCCGCTGAAGTGGTCGGCGTGGACAGTCTACTCCTGTCGCCGTGGGGAGCAACCGGACCGGACTTCCTGGAGCCTCCCGACGTCAAGCAAACGGCAGCTGGTCTGCAGGATGCGTGGGACACTCTCCTTCTGGGCTCGTCGGTCGGCGTAGCCTCGGCCC